ACCAGTGACTCTGACTGAGAAAGATGGACAATTTCTTCCTACATGATTTATAGCTTCCTAAAATCCTGCTGGAAGGTCAGCTCTGAGTTGGTTCTGATTCAATGGCAATGAGTTGAGTTGGTTTGAATTGACATTTTCACTATGTTATCTTCCAATCCATGAGCATAGGATGTTTTCCCACTTATGTGGTTCCTTTTGTTTCTTCTGATTGTTGTTGTTAGGTGCCATTAAGTTGGCTATGAGTGATAGCTACCCTATAAACAACAGAGCTGAAACCTGCTCTATACTGCACCATCTTCATCATTTTCTCGAGCCTATTCTTGCAGTCACTCTGTCCATCCACCTTGTTGAGGGTCTTCCTCTCTCTCTCTGACCCTCCACCTTTCTCGGCATAATGACCTTTTCCAAAGACTAGCCTGTCCTTACAACTTTTCCAAAGTATATGAGACGAGGTTTCACCATCCTTACCTCTAAGGATCACCCTGGATGCATTTCCTCCAAGACAGATTTGTTTGTTCTTTTGGCAGTCCATGGGATACTCAGTACTCTTCTCCAACACTGCTACTCAGAGGCATCAGTTCTTCTGTCATTCTTGTTCATTGCCCAACTTTGAAATGCTTAAGAAGTAGCAGTGTTTTGTCATCTTCCTTGTGTAAGGCTTATGTCTCTTGTTAGATTTAATCTTAGGTATTTTTAAAAAATTTTTTTTATTGTAAATAGTATTGTTTCTTGATTTTCTTTTTGAAATTCTCCTTGTTAATGTAGTGGAATCCCACTGATTTTTTAATTTTGATCTTCTTCTTTACCACACTGCTGAATTTTTCCATTAGTTTCAGTACCTTTCCCGTGGAAATATATCCTATTTGTAGGATGAGGTTATCTGCAGATAGAGATAGTTTCACTTCTTCCTTACCAATATGTATATCCCTTTCTCCCCCTGCCTTATTGTTCTAGCTACGACTGTCAGTATGATATTGAAAGTTGGTAATGGGCATCTTTGTCTCATTCCCTCTCTCAATGGGAATTTCTCACTGTTGAGAATGAATGTTTCTTTTCCTCTTTCTGTTACTATTTTCTAATTTTACAGCACTGTGATCAGAGAAGATGTTTTGTATTATGTCAACAAATTTTAATTTCAATTTACTGGGGCTTTGTTTGTTGTCTAGAATTTGTTCTATTCAGAATTACCCATGAGTTTTTGGAGAAGAATGTATATTATCCTGTTGGATGGTGTGTTCTTATGTATCTGTAAGGTCTAGGCTAAGAAAGTTCCGCCAAAGTCTTCTTAGAATGGGGCAGGAGTATTGTCCTAGCTTATCTGTAGAAGTAGAAACAAATATTCTATATTTTAAAATTTTACTCACATATGTACTTATTTCTTAATTTCAAGCCACGGGTTGACTTTTTCCCCTCTTGATAAGTGTTTTTGTTGTTACTAGTTGCCACTGAGTCAGCTCCAGCTGTTATGACCTCCTGTACAACGGAACAAAAAGTTGCCTGGTCTTGTGCAGACTTGATGATTGTTGGTGTGCTTGAATCCGTTGTTGTAGTCAGTGGTTATTCTGAATGTCTTCTAACTTAGGGGCTCATCTCCCAACACTACATTGGACCCCATTCTGTTGTTGTGAGTCATAAGAGTTTTTAGTGACTAATTTTGGGAACTAGATCATTAGGCCTTTTCCCCTGGTCTGTTTTAGTCTAGACGGTCCATTGAGACCTGTCCAGCATGAGTTACTCTGCAGGTATTTGAAATAGCAGTGCTGAAACACAAGCAGTGGGTTTGAGATTTTGGTCAGAACATTACAAAGAAGGAAAAATATCCCAAACATTGGATTTAGAAACAAAGAGAGAGCAATAGGAGAGCAATATGTTTACCTGTTATAAAATGAAATCTGAACCTTTGAAAAGCTAGCCTGACTTATTACCTTGTTTGAGTGGGTCTTGAAAGTTTCCTTCCTTTGATAGATGCGGGTTTACCATTTTCCTACTGCTAATTATAGTGGAAAACAGAGTTCGCCTGGTTAACATGAAGCTGTACTGGAGCAGGGGCTGTTCTAATCCCCTATGTGTGGTGTTCTAGAAAAAAGAAGAGACTCAGAGACAGACAAGGCAAAATGAAGGCAGAGATTGGAATGATTGTGCTGCAACCAAGAACAATGAGATTAACAGGAACTGGAAGAGGCAAGGAAGGACCCTCCTCCAGAGACTTCAGAGGGAGCCCTGCTGACACCCTAAATTCAGACTTCCAGTATCCTCAACTCTGAGACAGAAACATCTTGTTCTTTGCTTTAAGTCTCTCAGGGGGTTGTGGTGGCCTAACAGGTAAAGAATTGTGCTGCTGACCCAAAGGCAGGTGATTTGAATCCATCAGCTGCTCTGAAGAAAATTATGCGGTCTTCTGTGAGATTTATAGTCTCTGAAAACCTGCTGAAGGACCAGTGCAGGCTTAATAGTGCTGAATCTGAGAGTAGTTTTTTGTTTTTTGTCTTTGTTTTTAAAGTCTCACAGCACCCGGTTCTTTGTTACATATTTCCAGGGTACTCACACAGGGCCTTCTGGTTTAGTGGAAAATAATAAAAGTTTGATGAAAACCATCAGCACTCTCAATAGCCCACCTCCAGTGCTGCCTTCCTGGGAGAGTCTCAGATGCAGAGTTCATTCAACTTGCTTGAAAGTAATTTCAATGGACATGTTTAGAATAGTGGCAATCAGAGACCAAGACAAAGGGAAGATGTGCCACCACCATTATGGGATAAGACAATGCCAAAAGGACTGTGAGGAAGCAGAAATCTTTATTTGGGGTGAAGGCGGGGTCTGCCACCACCTGTTATCATAGCATTACCTGAGCTGGAGTCAGGAACAGAAACTGCATGAAGGGTATTTAATGTGAATTAGGGCTATGTTCCTCAGCTTGACTGAGAATCCAACCTTCTGAGGACTTTTGGGAGGGCTGTTGATCTTTTCCTTGATGGCATGTACAGGTCCAATGTAGGGGACCACAGAAGGAGGATGGGGCATGTTCCCTAGCATTTATCTGCACTCCATATGAATTGAAAGCTGGATCCCCTTAATCCCAGTGAGGGGAACCCTCCAAGTCCTGCACATGGTCAAGGGGTCTGAAGGTCTGTCAGGCTACCACAGGAACTCTGGGACTCTTGTTCACCCAAGCGCTGCATGTTAGTGATATTTTTGGCTAGAGGTTCTCCACCCACTGAGGATTCCATGTGCTTGACCTCATGTGATTTTTAACCCCAGGCAGACCACACTGGATCACCTGAGCCACAGCTGTGCCTACTGTGAGAATCACCACTTCGAGTACATGCTGCTCTTAGGGTACAGGAAATTGGGACAAGGAATGAGGACTTGCAGCCACTGCTGGAAGAGGACCAGATGTGTGTTTTCTGAGGTGGTATAGTTGTGCATGAACCACCACTTGATCTTGATTTAAATAGTTTCACAGTGGCAAGGTGACCTTGTTTGGAAATAGAGATTTTTTATTATGTTATTGAGGACACACCAGAGTAGGTTGGGTCCTACATCTAATCACATCTGAGTGGCATTTTATAAAAAGGAGAATAGACATGACATATACACACCGGGGAAACAGATATAAAGATGCAAGGCCAGCCATTCTAAGAATTGCTGCAGCTACTAACAGCTGGAAAAAAAAGAAAGGTCCCTCCCCTCGAGCTGACACCTTGAATTTGAACTCCGAGCCTCGAGGAAAAAAAAAAAATCTTTAAATTCTTTAAAGTTACTTACTTGTGTGTGTGTGTAAAAAACTGTCGAGTCAAAACTGACTCACAACTGACCCTTCAGTGGGTTTTCAGAGGCAATAATTTGCACTGGAGGAGACTGCCTCTTTTCCTTGGAGCAGCGGGTGAACATGAACAGTGTGCCTTTGGGTTGGCTGTGCAACTCCTTACCATTAAACTACACACACACACACACACACACACACACACACACACACACACACTTATTCTGTAATACAGCACCAAGTAGACATTATCACTAACGAGTTCTAAAATCTTGGATTGTTCATCTTTTTCTTTCTCACCCCCCCATCCTTCCCCCACATTATCCTCAATAGATCATATGAATTTTTGAAAGATCCGAAAGATCCTATAGCGTTCAGTTTGTGGGCAGAGGAAGAGATAAGATCTCTACCCTAAGGCCAACTAAGAAGGGTAGATATCATGCCTGAGATGTCCAGTCTGGATACGCACTAGAGGTGACTATCCAACCCTGCAAAGAGAAGGCTGTCAAGTAGACACTGTTAAGGCTGAGTCTCAGGTGGCACAGGGCCCCCAACGGGTCCTGGGCATGTAGCGATCAAGTTCAATCCTGGGGGATGAAGATGAATGACTAGTCTGACATGTCAGGGTGTCCCCTGACTGGAGGAATGGTGAGTGGGAGAGAGACAGGCAGGGGCTGGGGAGATAGGCGGTTTCACAAGCCTTTATTAGAGGGATGAAGTGTGTGTGCAATAACTCGAGGTGCAGGACTTGTCTGACGGCATGTAGGTGAGGATGCCCCTAGGTTAGGGCCAGAACCAGGAGGAGCAGGTGCCAGAGCGGGAAGCAGGGTGGGCGGGGAGGACAGATGGACTCAGAAGACAGTATCCTGCCAGTATCCGAAAGGCAGCGAGGGCACTGGATTAGCAGTTGGGGTCGTAGGTGATTGGGTGGGCACACTGGAGGACAATGCTTAAGGAGTTTGGTAGAGAGAGTAAAGAGGTATCAAAAAGAATGAAAAAGAATAAAGGGAAGTCACTGAGAAATGTCAGAGTAGATAGATGCAGGAGCGTCGCTCCCCCATACACCGAGCGCCCGCCGCCTGGCGGAGGAAGGCCGATCTGCAGGCAGCCCAAAAACCTCCTCGGCGGGGACCTTTAGCACCATAAACGAGACGTGGGAGGCCCGTGGAGGCGGGGCGCCGTGCAGGCGCGGGGCGGGGCCGCGATGGGGGCGGTGCCTAGGCGGCCAGGCGGGGCGGGGCTAACAGATCCAGCGGATAAATCTGTCAAAGAAGCTGGGCTGCACCAGGCTGTCGTAGTCCTTCTCGCGGAAGATGGCAGACGTGTCGCCGAGGCTGATCTTGGAGAGCACATCCATATCCACGTCGTTGCCCACGGCCACCACGGTGGGCACCACATTCTGCTTGCGCATGGAGTGCACCGACTCCTCGAGGCTCTCGTTCCCGGTGACGCCGTCGGTGAGGAAGACGAAGGAGAGCTCAGCGTGGCGCCGCGCCCCGCCCCGCGCGCCCCGCACCACTGTGTTGATGGCGTGCACGATGCCGGTGCCCACGTGCGAGAAGGAGTTGAGGTAGCGTGCCTCCTCCAGCGCCTCCTGGATGACTGTCAGATTGGCAGTCAGCGGGAAGGCCACCTGCTGCTCGCGCGGGTTGCCATACTGCAGCAGCGCTACGCGGGCGTTGAGCGGATCATCATCCCGGCGTGCCAGCGTCAGTCGCCGGGACACCTCCTCCACAAAGCGCCGGGCCTTGAGGAAGTTCTGCTCGCCCAGCCGCTCGGAGCCGTCCAGCAGGAAGACGATGTCCACAGGCCGCTGCGTGCACTGGGCCACGTACAGCTCTGGAGGAGGGGGAGACTGCGGTGGGGTCGGGTCCACAAGGCTAGGGACACCCGAGCCCTGAGTCTGCCCAGGTTTACAGAAGCATGCCAGAGCCTTGGACCACATGTGACACCTTACTCTGACAGAAGCCCAGCTCTGTCTGAGATCTGATATCGGGGATCCCCTTAGTGAGGTTCTGATTTGATTGTGATTTGGAATTCAGGGCCCCAGGTAGGTAGAGAGCTACCCTAGCACCTCCAGGTGATACCCCTATTGAGACCATAACCAGATGCTTAAGACCTCTGAGGTGACACTCTTTCTGTCTGAGACCTGGCACCCAGGACTCTCACTACTTAGCACATGAAACCTCCAGGTGACAACTCCTTGCTTTAAGACCCAACACTCAGGATGGCCCAGGTGACTTCCCAGTTGCTGTGACCTGGAACCTAGGACTGCTAGGTAATACTTGTTCTGGATGAGACCCGACCTAGAATCCCCAGATGTTCTCCTATTCTGGTGACATCCTGCACTCTTCCATGACAGACAGTTGGGACCAAGGAGGCCTCCATCCAAAATCACCTGCCGATCTGGGTCCCACCACGGTTCTTATTACCTACACTTCCCCTCATTCATCCCCCCAACCAGGATATGTTCCCAAACCTGAGAGCAGAGACCCTGTAGAGGCCAAGGATCTCTGCCTTGACCCAGCACCCACACACCACATGCTGTGAGGCTTGGTCCTGATCCCTATTCTGAGTTCTTGAAGGAGGCAGAGCCCAATGCAGATACTGAACCCACATGTATAGGTGTTAAGGCACCCTGCACAAGCATTGGCTAGCTTCCATCCTCAAAGCAGGCCTGCTGAGCCATCCTTACTTTGAATTTCAGAAAATTCATTCAAGTCTCTGATTCTCCATCTGTCTAAACTCTGCTCACTACATCAGAAAACACACCCTAAAAGAACCCTCCCTGGCCAAAGCAGGCAGAGAAAGACTTGCTGCAGACAGGACTCTTTAATGAGCTTATTCACAACAATAGCTTATTCTGGCAGCTACATCAACTAAGAGCAACTTTTCCAGTCATATGGCTGAGTCTGGTTTAAGGTGCCACCCCTCTAGTGAGTTCACTGTGCACTGCAGAACTCCCCAAATTTCAGCACAATAACAAAGATTTCTCCATGTTAGCTACAGACACCCAGTAATGGAGTGAAGGAGGTTCACAGCCTTCAGGGCATTTCCCTCTGTGTTGGTCTTACACAAGAATGGAGTTGGAAGGTTGTAAGGGTTGCTCATGGGGACCTCGAGAGGCTTCAACTGTAGTTGAAGCTGGACTGTGCTCTCCTCCTGCTGACTCCACAGTGGGGTCCCTCCTCACACTCTGTCCCAGCCCACTTTGTACATGAGCCATAAAGACCCTGCCTCAGAAGCCTAGCTTAATCTAGCATTTAGCAGAGAGACAAGGGTAAGAACAGCGATGAGATATGCCATTCTTTGTGAGTCTTGCTCAAGGGAAACCATATTGAGTGGCTCTGTGAGTCTGGCAGGTGGAAAGACAGGCATTATTCCATTTGGGCCAGGCTGCACACACCAGCAAGGCCCCTAGAGACCTGGATGTCGAGGGTGTGAGGACACAGTCTGGGTTTCCAGGTCCTCACAAGGATGAACTGCTGCATGGCTGGCTGTGCAGACTCCCAGGCTGAGTACCACACGTGCTCTGAGGATTGTGCATGCATGTCACTGGCACTTGGGGCTGAGGTCAGTGCCATCGCTGGGTCACCTCAGCTCTTGGGGCCTGTGGCTGAGGCTCAATCAGAGCCTATGTAGGGACTTTCTTAAACACTCTGGACTTTGCTCCTCCCTCACTGAGCACATTTGGTGGCTCACTAGATTGGGGGACTGTGGCTGGCTAAATAATGGCCCCCTCAATGTAATCGCTTCTCAGTCATTGGGAAGTATGTATGGAGCTTTCAATGGAAATAAAGGACTTTTGAGATGTGGTTAAGACTCCTGAGGTGGGAAATGATCTTGGATTATGGCAGTGGGCATGAAATGCAATGAAAAGTGGCCTTATAAGAGAGAGGCAGAGACAGATAACACAGAAAAGGAGACCATGTGACAAGAGGCAGATTGGAGTGATGTAGCCACAAGCCAAGGAATGCCTGCGGTCCCTAGAGACAAAAAGGAAGCAGGGAAGGAGCCTCTAACTGTGAAGGAGGCTGTCAGCACCCTGAATTTGGTCTTCTGGTCTCTAGGCTATGAAGGAATGTGCCTATTGTGTCAGCCATCCAGTGTGCAGTATTGTTAGAGCAGTCATAGGACACTGATTACACTGATTTGGGGTGAGGGTCAGCCTGGCCATCTGTGCAGATGGGTGGGTGGCCCCAGCTTTAGCAGAGGGCCAGAGCAGTCTCGGGATCCCCCACGATGTCCCTGTGCACCAGCTTAAAGGTGTCAATGAACAGCTCCATCCAGTCCTGCCGCTCAACCCCTGTGGCGAACTTGGCCCGCTCGGCAGTGTAGACCAGTACGGCCACCAGCCCGGAGTAAGCAGCAGGGTCCTGCGTGAGCTCCGTGGTGTTTAGCAACTGTCGGATCAGGGGGACGGTCCGGGGGAAGGTGTTGGGTCCCTCTTCCGTGCGGAGGAAGGTGACCTGGGGCGCCCCGACAGGCTGTGGTCCATCTGCAAGGGAGCGTCCAGAGAAGGGTTTAAGGACGTGGGCATGTGAGTGGCTGCTGGCTGCCCTCAGGCTGAATGGTCAGGGCATCTCTTTGCAAAGACAAGAATTGGGACCTAGTGGTGAATGCTGATTAGGCTCAGCCGGCGAAGTGAGCTGGACAAGAAGGGGACATGCATGCCCCCCTCAGCTGCCCAGGAGGTGTGTAGAGCAGAGCTAGATGGGTAGTTTGGGGAGAAAACAGCAAGGCGACAGACAGTGCCAAGGAGCCTGGGAGCAGAAGCGCTGTTGGAGGACACCACAGGTGTGGTGGTTCCTACAGAATCAGGCCAGCCTGAGGTCTGGCCTGGACCTGTTAGTGGCCAGGCTTCTAGGTTTGTGTGCCTGACCTGGAGGTCAGGGTTGTATCAGCTGCACACGCACCAATAAATAAGAAGTCATTTGCAAGAGCATGCTCTAAAGCTCCATTTACACCTTTCTCCTGAGTCACCATGCTTGATATATTTTGAAACTTCAAAGAAGGAGCTTTAAAGGAGAAGGAGCTCTTCAGTTAGTAGGAGGAGGCAGAGAAGATGCAGAGGGGCTCTAAAGGGGCTGCTCCTTTAAGCTGGGGAAGGGAAGCCTGTGAAGGCTTCAGGGAAAGCAGCTGCCTAAGTAGCTGTGATCCCTCACCTGCTCCCTGACTGCCTGCACTTCACCCTCAGTGTCAGCCAGCTGTCACCTCCCCGGGTGCTGGGACAACTACGTGTTTTGCTGTCCTCCAGAGGTAAGCCATCACAGGGCCACAGTCAGCTGCAGGGCCTGGCTTCTCCCTCTGGAGGGTCCCTGAAATAGATATAGCTTCTCTCTATACAGATACTGGGGGGTCAGTCAGGAATTCTACACAGGGAGAGCCCAGGAGTACTCTGCAGGGCACCCTGGATCCCACAGAAGCTCCATGCACTGTCCACACCAAAATGTCCAGGGAGCCGTTACATCCACTCAGCCAGGACCCAACACCAGGCCTCCTGGATAAAGCAGCTGCACTGAGGCTTTGGCAATTTACCATTCTAGCTCTGGGGGCTCTGACACCCTGGATCCCATACAGAGTATCTCCTGCTAACTGCAGGCTGGATGCTGAGACTCCTGCCATCTTCCAGGAACTAGTACATCTCATCTAATTCTGCCAATGCCATGGCCTGGCCATGCGGTATAGCCTGGGGAAAGTCCTCTGCATCCAGTATGTATTTACATCTCCAGAACTTCTCGGGGCACCAGTGTATTTCAGCTGATGAGGCTGCTCCATGAGCAGGCTGGACAAGACAGAGAAGTCCCGGGAAGCTGTGCCTGCAAGATGCTGACTTTGATCAAGAAAGACTATGCAGACAGGGCCTCACATCCAGACGCATTCACCACCGCCTCAGACCTGGACACAGACATGGACATACCTGAACTCAGCCATGGCCTCAGCCACAATCACAGGCAGAGACATGGATGGACTTGGCCTAACAAATAGATGGCAGCATACACCGAAGCACAGACTCAGTCACAGACTTAGACATGACCACAACATGGACCAAGACATAGCCTCAGACATGGACACAGACATGGTCTCAGACAGATGCAGACATGTATCAGCGACATAAGCCCAGGCAAGGCTCAAAGTGTAGATGCAGACATGTCAGAGCCTGAATTCCTACATGGATCCCCTACGTGTGGATGGAGACCGTAATCCTCCACTGCCCCAGTGGTCCCACCTTTAAGAGTTAGCTCCAGGGACCCTCTTGTGGGCTTATGCCCCTCAGTCCCTACGCTATTGTCACCATGGAAACCACAGTCAGATGATCAAGCAGAGATTTAGCAATGCCTTTCCCAGACAACTGGAACCTGTGGAGGCCATTTGCTGGACAGCCACCTGAACCTGTCAGCAGGTTCTCACCTCTTTGCAGCTACCCTGATGTCTCAGTATCTTCAATCCACTTGCGTGATCCCTGATCCCTCAACAAGCTCCCTATCCCTTACCACGTCCTCCCAATACTCCACTTGGCTCCCAACCTACCGCCAGCCCCTATAACACTTTGTGAGGTCCTATAATAGCAGTACTCCAGTCCACTGCTAACCCCCAATACCTCAACAGCCTTGTCATCTCACCAGGCCCTTGACTCATCACCAGTACTCTGACACCCCTGTTTCTTCACTAAGCCCATCACCTCACCAGGCTACTGACACTTCACCAGAGCCCTAACACCACACCCGTCCCTCTTTCTTCTCACCAGAACCCACAACATCTTGCCTGTCCCTCATATACCTTTATCAGCCCACCGGACACCTCACCAACCTATTAACTCACTGCCAGGCTGTGCAACTCTAGCTGTCCAGCCTGACACACACTCTTGCCTCATATATACTAACATTCCAGAGACACAGCTCCCTGGAGCCAGCACCTGCCCCCGGGGAGGGCAGACAGTGGTGGCCATGCGTGACGGGTCAGTTAGGAAGCAGCACTTACGTCCTGCAGCTGTGGGGTTACTGCACGTTTCCCCCCGGACTACCATAAATCAGTTCTTTGAAATCAAAGTCCAGGTTTCCTTCCCCAAGTAGTCAGCAAACTGCTCAGCCCGGGCATCCAAGGAGGTGCCAAGCTGTAGCCAGGCTCCCATCTGCCAGCCAGCCTGCTTGTCTTGTCCCTGTGGGCAGTAGGCAAGACCTACCAAGTTGGTGCAGGACTGCCAGGACTTGGCTTTCTATGGCCATGAGCCTTGTGGGCATCCCAGGACCCCCGACCCTCCAACATGCTGGGTGATTAAAGACAGTTTCTCAGTCCATAGGGCCCAAGGTCCTAGGCGTGGCTTGAGGTGCCATCTCCACCCCTAGAACCTCCAATGAGTCCCTGTCTATCTGTGTTCAAGGTCAAGGGTGTGTGTTCAGGGTCCTGGGTAGAGATCACCTAAGTGGGCTAAGATGTTACTCTCAGAGCCTCTGCACTAAGGAGACGTCCCCACAGTGGGCACTGCCAAGTTCTGGCCCAAGCCCTCTGTCCCATGCTGGGCCTCTCAGCTGCATATGTGCTGTCTTGGGGCGTGGTGGCTGGGGTGGCTCCCCAGGTTACCTGTTTGGCAGGGAAGGTCAGGACAGACGATCTGGGGATCTGCAAGAAAGAGAGAGAGAGAGAGAAAAAAAAATAAAAACCAAAACAGATCAGGTATCATGGTCAGTACCCACTGTGTCCCACATGGTTCTGGCCTTTTAACCTAATGAGTCCAGGAGAAGTGTCTGTCCCTGGCCTTCCACTGATAGAGTGTTCTGGGTTGAATTGTTTCCTCTAAAGCATGTGGAGGTCCTTATCTCTGTGTCAGTGTGAAAGGGATCTAATTTGGGGAAATGTGGTGTTTGTAGATGTTAACAGATAGCAGGGTCACACTGGAGTACAGTAGAGTAGGTCCTTATCCTATGTGACTGGTGTCTTGTAAAAGGTGGACAGTCACACATGGAGAGATATCACGTGAGGACCCATCTCAAAGCAACAAAGCAACATCAGGAATCACCAGAAAGCAGAGGGGACAGGGAGAGGCATGGGGCCATTCATTTCTGTGCACTCGAGAGAATCAACCCAGACAGCATCCTGGCCTTAGATCCCTAGTCTCCAGCACTATGAGATGATAAATGTCCATTCTACAAAACTTCTGGTAGTATTTGTTATGGCAGCATCAAGACATCCAGACACAGGGATCTGGGGAGGCTGGTTTTCACCCCTCTTTTTGTGACTACCTGGAACATTTATTTTCCCAGTAGACTGGACCCAGCATTCATCCGACTCTCACTTCACAAAGATGAAAGTGGGGGCTTGGCCAGTGTGTGCAGGGGTTCCCAGGCCTTGCATGGTCAGTAACAGGAGGCCTGGCGGCCTGCTATGGACTAGATTGAGTTCTCTCAAAACAGGTGTTGTATTCCTTGCCTTTATACCAGTGTGTATAATTTTGCTTGGAAATGTTTTGTTTTTTTAATTGTTGTAGTTGTTATGTTATGAAGTCAGACCAGAGTAGAGTGGATCCTAAAACTAACCTGATCCCTACTTCTGTAAAGACAAGAACAGGCATAGATATACGCGTGAGAGAGGAAGAGGGATGGTGGAGACAGATCAAAGATTGAAGCTGCCGAGCATTTCATTTTACTGGGATCCACAATCAGCGTCCCTGGAAGCAGCAGTCAAGAAGTCAAACAATGTGCTGCATTTGGAAAATCTGCTTCAAAGACCTCTTTAAAGTGCTAAGCAGCAAAGTTGCCACTTTGAGGTCTGAGGTGAGCCTGACCCAAGGCATCATATTTTTCAGTTCCTCCAGCTGCAGGTAAAAGCTGGATAGTGACTAAAGAAAACCAACAAGAATTGTTTGTATTAAAGAAGAGTATTGATTATGGACTGCAAACGGGAGTGCAGCCAGCATGCACCTTGGAGGTGAGGACAGTGAGGCTTTGTCTCATGGACTTTGGACGTCCCTGCAAACCTCCTGTTCGCTTAAGTCAGTGGAAAAGAGGAAGGCTGTCAGTGAGCTGGACTGGCTGGCTGGCTGCAGCTGCGGGCTCAAGCAGAGGGGATTGTGAGGACGTCACAGGATTGAGTGGAGCCTCCCTCCACTGTACGTACAGTTGTTAGGAGTCAGACCAATCCATCAACATCTAACAACAAACAGCTAGGAGCTGAACACCAAAAGCAAGGACCCTTCTCTAAAACTGATGCCCTGAATTTGAACTTCCAGCTTCCTGAACTTTGATTTTTTGGTTTTTTTTCTTTACCTCAATTTTTATTAAAAGACCAATGTATGAGCAAAGGACATGGAAAGAATTTTCACAGAGGAAGACATTTGAATGGCCAACATATAAATGAAGAAATGCTCAAAATCAATGGTAATAAGAGAGCTGCAAATCAAAACCATAATGGGATACTATCTTACTCCAGTAACAGTGGCAAAGTTTAACAGGGCACAAGTAATACATGTTGGAGAGGATGTCACGAGACAGGAACTCTTATACATTGTTGGTGAGAAATTTGTTTTCTTTAAAGCAACCAACCACCTGTGTTGTATTTTGTGACAGCAGGTCTAGGAGACTAAGCCATCATCTCCTCTTGCAAACCCCCTTGCCCCTCGTGGATGGTGGCCCCCTCACCTGGGCACAGGATGTCCTCCATGTCGTCAATGAACTTCTCGGCCACCAGCTCGGAGAAAAGCGTCATGTTGCGCACCTGCTGAGGCTTGTTGCAGGCAATGGAATTGAGGTTCTCACTCTCGTGCTGCTCATGGAACATGTCACCGATGCCGATGGCTGTGACCGTGACATCATCATCGCTGCAGAGGGCCCGCAGGTTCAGGTCGTCATCCCGGGGGTCATGGCGGCCATCCGTGATGACCACTGCAAACACACGGGTCTTCTGTCGCCTGCTCTCCTTGATGAGCTTGTTGTAGGCGAACTTGAGGGCCGAGGGTGTCCAGGTGCCGCCGGCGATCCATTCAAGGTTCTTGACGGCCTCCTTGAAGCTGGACAGCGAGTTGATCCGCTCGTCATCTAGCTGGATGGCCTGGAAGGTGCCCTCATGGCTGTACTGCACCACACCCACTCGAGTGCCTGTGGGGGCAGATGGTATGCTTTGTTGGTGATGAGCATGCATCAGCCTCACACCACACAGCCCCTAAAGATGACCAACACCTGCTGGCCCCACCGGCGGCTACTTTCTGGGAAGCCCAGCAAAGTTTAAGTGTCCCTCATTAGGTAGACTTCATTTGGGTTTTTGTCGTTCTGTCTTCCTGATACTCAACCTCCTGCATCCCGTCCAGTCTGTGTCCATCAGTGAGGTCTTCCTATGTATGTGCCAAGGCCCGGGACCTCCCACCTTGGTCCTATTCCCACAGTGGGCTGCCTCTGCTGACCTGTCTCTGATTTGGGGTCCTTGGCGATGGCGCCCAGCCGATTGACCACATTGATGACGAAGTTCTTCTCCAGAGTGAAGTTAGTGTAGCCGATGCTCTCAGAGCTGTCGATGACAAACACCACGTCCAGGGCACCACAGCGCTTCTCACAGTCTACAGGTCGGAAGGTATGGGAGGAGGAGGTCATTGGGATCAGGAGTGTGGGCAAAGCGAAGCCACCCACCCCTAGGACAACAGGGACCATGTGTGGTGTGCAGAGGAGGCAGGGACTAGGTGTGGAGGGTGTGCTGCTCTGTGATCCCACTGACTCCTCTACACACTCATCCTGGGAGCCACCTCTGAGCAGACCCTGACTCTGGACTCCCCAGATCATTCCCGGTGGGACAGATAGATTATTGGGCTAAAGATGAGCAGACTCACCACAGCACCCACACGTCTCCCTCACGTAGGTCATGACATCACACTCCTGCAACATGGAACAGAGGTCAGCTGAGGGGTTGTACTTCCTGTTTCCCAGGATCCGGGAGGGCACAGCTCTTGGAGGGAAGTTTCCATGGATGGCACAAACCCAGAAAGGTATTTCTCCATGCAAAGTTCATGGGTGTCTGGATGCACCAGTGGAAGTTTGCAAACGAGCATGTGGGAAGGAGGCTAGCAATGCCCCTTCTACTGACCTCACTCTGCCATGCTAACCTCACCCCCACACCAGCTGACCTCATCCCTGCAACCAGCTCTCTGGTTTTTGAAGGGGAAGAGGAGTCTCTCAAAGAAGCATGCTGACTTTTCCATGGATGTGACACCTACCGTGAGACCAGGGTCTCCAGGGGGGCCAGGCATACCCTAGAGGAAGAAGGGAAGAACTATTAAGAGCAGAGGCTGGGTAAAGTTGGATCGTAGGCTCTAGCGCCTGCTGCCCCCTGCACACCTGCCTGACATGGTGCCCTCCCACCAGTGAATGGACTTACCTGGGGTCCTGGGACTCCTCGGGGCCCTCGAGGACCTGGTTCACCGGGGGGACCAGGGTCTGCCTGAGAAGGGAAAGGGAGAGTGGGCTTCAGCTAACATGCTGGTTGAGTTCCTGCACACTGCAGAAATATGTGTTCCCTACCCACAGCCCGGCCTGGTGGGCGTAGAGGTGAAAGCTAAGAGGTAAGAGTTCATTGTTCCCCTGCTCCATGCTTAGTACCATGCCTGGCCACCAGGGGGTGAGAGAGCAGCAGAGCTCACAGCTAAAACAGGTCTGATCTCAGGGTCATTCTTATCTCTGATCATCTAAGTATTTGTCTAGCTACCTTTCAGTTAATCTACACAAGCATAAGGCAAAATTTCCATCCACCTTCTAACCCATCCACACAGCATCTACTCATTCATCCACAGGCTTGGCCCATACACTCACTGACCATCTCATTTGCCCATCTACCAAATTACCCACCCACCCATTTACTCATCCATCTATTCACCTTCCCATCCGTTTACCCTCTTCTCCATTCATCCATTCATTTTCCTATGCACCCATCTAGCCTCCTGTCCATTCATTCATCTATCTGTCTACTTATCCAACTGCTCATCAATTTAGCTTCCCACAAACTTATCTAACATTGTTATGTCAAACCTGATCCAGTTCCTCATCTCTTTCCCTTTCAGTCTTCATTTACAATTCCTTACTGGGTGCCTGCGCTGTGTCTGGCCCCATGTTAAGAGCACGAAGGGACAGAAGCCATGGTCCTGGTTCCTGCTAATGCTTTCTAGAGTGATGTGGGGGCTGAGAGTGGGAGCTGAGAGGCCGGAGAGATCGCTCTGACATGAGCCTTAGAGCCTAGGGACTGGCTGTCCTCTTTGTGGTAGCATGTGTGTGGGGTGTCTGGGGACATCCTGCCATTCTCCAGCTGTGCCCTCAGATGCACGTTCAGATGAAGAAACAGTCCCTCCCCATGCCCCACATTCAACCTGGTCAGGGCCAGCGCCTGGGATACTCACAGGCTCACCCTTGTCTCCTTTTCTTCCTGGGGCTCCTTTTACACCAAAGTCTCCTCTGCCTCCCTGGGACACAGGACACAAATGTCATTTATGGGACAGCAGAGATAAATACCCAGGGAGCTCCCTGCTCCAATTCTCCAAAGTTTTTCTTCAGTCTCCCAGAATACTGTGCACTCAGAAGTCTGCAGTTTGATAAACGGCAGTGTTTTGTTTTTATTTTAGAGTGGACACTGCAGACTACATGCACTCAGATCAAACAAGTAAGTCTTGCAGAAGTGTCAGTGCGAAGCAGTGACAGGGAACTGGCCGCCTCCTCCAGCCCGTCTGCCAGCGAATGTTTCTCCAGTTGTGGGCTGTGGGGAAAACCCTTCCACTCCCAGTGACAAATACAGCGACCCAGCCACAGTCGGCAGGAAGGTGGATCCCCATGGCAGAAAGCTGAGGAGGGCAGATGGCTAGGTTTGAGGCCTGTACTTACCTCAGGGCCACGTGGGCCTGGCTCCCCCTTTTGTCCCTGTGAAGCAAAAACAGGTCAGGATAACTTGGCCCCAGAATCTAAAGAGCGGCAGCTGGTGTGCCTATGTCTGGTCAGGTATGGTGCTGACTGCTGGGGGCACAGAGGTTTTCTACAGGGTCCCCATCATCCTTGTTTGGGGGTTATTATTTATCCCAGCAAGAACATCCATACAAAAACCCCACACGCCTTAGAGCTAATACCACCACTGCACACACACTGGACCTGACTACACACCCTGGACTTCTTCCCACCCTTTCCCTGTCACTGGGTGGTGGAGGCTCAGTCCCTCGAGGACCTTTAGTTCACAGGTAACACACCCCCGGGAGGCCCTGGCCCCTACTAGGACTTACAGGCGTTCCTCGGGGTCCTGGGTAGCTGAATCCAGGCCTGCCAGGGTCTCCCTGGAGGATGAAGAAGATCGTTCAGGGTCAAGTTCAGGAGGAAACAGGGGGCTGAGCAAGACTCTGTGGACTGGGGACCAACTAGGTGCCATAAAAGTTTCTGGGTGTGAGCAGAGGGACTGCAGGTGGGGCTCACTACACCTTCTGGTTACATATGGGGTTAATGTGATGAGACATGGGGTTGGGGGACAGAGAAGCCAACAGAAAGCAGACATTCAGGCTTTCCTACAATGGTACATCTCAACCACAGTTCTGCCTTGGAAAAGATGTGACCCGTTGTTAGGGTCAAAACAAAGGAGGATTATCACCCTGGCCTCTCTTTTAATCTGAGAACCAAGGTTTAGAATCCTGACCTCAAAGGCTGAATCCAAACTACCTTCCTCCCACACCACCGTCCCTGAGCTGGGGTGAAAGGGGAGCTCTGTACCTTGGGACCGGGTGGTCCTGAATCTCCACGTGGCCCAGCATCACCAGGGTCTCCCCGAGATCCCTGGAGACAGGAGAGAAAGTCAGTACCACCAGTGACTGATGCCTGGCCAGCTGGGCAATGATGTCTATGACTCTCACCCACATGCACATTTAGCTCTGATCACCAGACCTTACTGCTTTGTGGGGTCCTTGGGCATCCTGAGGGTTCTGCCTGGCAACTCTTCTTCCATGCAGGCAGCCAGGCCCACCCCCTGCCTCACTGCCTCTGCCCTGCCTGCCCTGTGCAGAGGGTGTGCAGCAGGGGTGGGCTAAGTTGGGGTGCGGCAGGAGGGTCAGGCAGGTGAGGGCCCGGGAAATCCTTGGGCTCCATTCAGGGTTGGGATATCATAGCCAGCTTCTTCACTTAACAGAGGGCCCTCAGTGCCTGGGATTGCAAAGCACATGAGGAATAGGAGGTCTAACTTCTAGGGCTTTTGGCACCTTGTCCCGCTGCCTGAGTGTGGTGATAGGGACAGTGACCCTCAGCCACCTGCTCTGATCAGACAGGAAGATGCAGGTGACACTACAGGATGTGGGAGAGAGCACTGGGAGGTGATGGGTAGTGAGGTGGGGACTGGGGGTTGGGGCACTGAGGCAGCCCAAGGTCATGGGGACCCTCCTGGGAGGCCTCTACTGACCTGATTCCCTGGTTCACCAAGAGCTCCCTGAGGGCCTCTGGGTCCAGGCAGGCCTCGATCTCCCTGAAAGAAAGGAGCTCAAAACTCAACACATTGCCGTCGAGTCATAACTGACCCTCCGGTGGGTTTTTGGAGGCTGTACATTTCATAGGAAGAGACTGTCAATATTCTCCCAAGGAGCCACTGGTGGATTTGAACCATCAGAGAGGCACTGCCTTCGGGTTAGCAGTGCACCTCCCTACAGTCTAGGCCACCAGAGCTCCCTGAAAGAGAGGAAAGGAGGTTGCAATAGTTTCATCTGATGAGGGACCCTCAGAAATCTTATTTTCACCACAGATATGGGGCTATATACTCAATAAGGTAAGGAGTGGGATTTGGTGAGAGGTCTGGGGTAGACCTGGGGAGAGGACTGGGGGAGTCTGGGGAGGAGTCTGGGGGAGTCTGGGGAGAGGTCTGTGGGAGTCTGGGGAGGAGTAGTGGGGAGTCTGGGAGAGTCTAGGGAGAGGTATGGGGAGGAGACTGGGCTGGGCTGTAGAGCTCCACTGGCCCCTCCTGTTTTCTTGCTTGGGTCTCCCCTCAGCCTTTCTGAGAGGTGGCATAGTAGAGAAGGGAGTAGGCACAGGGGATCCTGAGCCCCAGGTGCTCCCTCCCAAGTAGGAAACTGGGCTTTGAATAGCTGGTTACCCCTGAGCTGTGCCCACGGCCCTATCCTTGGTAGGGGAATCCCACTCTGACAAAGGCTGCTTCCCTGACACCCTGCTCCCATTCTTGGCTACCTACTCACCTTGGCCCCTTTGCTGCCGACCTCTCCAGCCAGGCCCCGGGATCCCTCGGGGCCAGGGTCCCCCTGTGAAAAAAGAGGCATGGTAGGGTCTCATCAGAGCCTCAGGTCTAGGCCTCACCTGAGAGTCTGTGTGGCTAGGGGTGTGACTGGCTGCATGGTCACATTTGCTTCTTGTAAGGAAGTCTACTGTGTGCTACGTTTGAATCTCTGTGTGTGTGAGTCTGTGGTGGGTGGTGTGCAGCATGCAGAATAATGCGTGACATGCGTGGCGACAAACTTGTCTATATATTGCAAAGGTGTGCAGGGTAGGGTCCCCCCATCAATATTCTGCCTTGTCAGATCTTTGGGGTGCCTTCCTTGCATGGAGAGGCCCCAAAGTCATGGCTGTCCTCTGTGGTTGAATGATTTGGATTTCTCACATCTGGACCAAAGAAGTAAGGGACGGACCATGGGGGGATGTGGTCTCAGATCCCATCCCTGATGGCTCCTATGCCCCCCATGGCTGACTCACCTTCTCCCCCTTGGGGCCATTACTCCCAGGGCTGCCCTTGGCTCCAGGATCTCCCCTGCGTCCCTGCAGGTAGAACAGGTGTCAGTGGGGGAAGAGCTCAGAGGGCTCTCCACAGCAGCCTCCTCGAGCTCATTTGCTGCAATGGCGACACTGAGGCACATCTGGAAGAGCTAGAGAGAGTCCTAGAGCAGGGTGGGTGAAGAGGGCCTGCAGGAGGGGCCGAGGAGGCCTGGGCACTGCCATCCTGGCCACCAGGGTCACTCTGGAGCCCCCTCCCCTTGAGCCCAGAAGACACGATCAGATGGAAACTCACTGGCTCGCCTTTAGGTCCCCGAGGCCCAGGCCCGCCCTTGGCTCCTTTCAAGCCGGGACTTCCTGGGGCACCATCATTGCCTTGATATCCCTGTAGAAAAGGGGAAGAAAGTTCAGCTGTGGCTTCCTGGGTGCTTCTTGCCTGGGATAATGGGAGTCCCCACACTTCCCCAGGCAGGCTTGTGGAGCCTCACTCCTCCAGCCTTAGGCCCAGCGGCTGAGCACAACAGCTCCACCTGCGGACGGGCAGGAGGGACTTGCCTTGTTGCCTTTGGCCCCGCTTTCTCCTGGGGGACCTCTGCGTCCTGGGCGTCCAGCATCTCCCTGGAAGGATTTGGAGAAATCAACCCAGGTCCTCTTGGCAGGGTAAAAAGCAGCAGGCCACAAGGTGGGGCTGTCCATGGAGGAGTCTGCTCTGGCCCCATCTCAGGCTGAGTAAGAGTCACCCTCAACCACAGGCTGGGGTCTACCTCTTCATTCCTGCATCGTGAATGAGTTAGTGGGGCATGGTCCCCAAGCAGGGCTTGGAGCTGGAGAGAGGTGCAGGACGGAGGAGTCTAGGGGTCTAGATATCTTCCTGCTGAGGTCACTGGCTTTGGGGAAAGGAGGGTATCTCCTGTTTCCCTGAGTGTCCCTGGGTAATTAGGGAAAAGTGACCCCAGGTGGTCTGTGTGTATAGCCAGTGCCCCTGAACAGGACTACTGTTCACCTCTCCTAAGTGGATGGGGACTAGGACAGTTTAGGCCAGGGAAACGCATAGCTCCCAGGGACAAGAGTCTTGGTGGGCATCTCAGCCCCACTGTGCCCCACAGGCCCTGGAGTGGCAGGCTGCTGTCATGGCCAGATACGTACCTTGGCACCTTGGTCTCCTTGCATCCCAGGGTTGCCTGCATCTCCTGGATAGCCATCAGGGCCCTATGAAGGGGTGAGAAGTCACTCCAGGCTCTTGCTGTGTGGCTAGGCCCTGAGGATGAGTGGGGGCACAGCAGGGGCAACACACACCCCATCGCTAGGCCTTGGGACACTCAGCTCCCAGTGTGCGCCCAGTCTCTCCCATGTAGCCAGGCCCTTTCTTGGAAAAGTTCCTCCGGGAGCAACAGAAAGTAAAGGTCTCAGTGGTGAGATTTCATGTTAAAAGGATGTTTTCTCTAGGGAAGGATGACAGCACCCAAGAAACATCCACCTCTGCCTGAGCAGGTTGGCTGGACCAATCACGGGAGCCCTCTGCAAGAATGGCCCCGCCCAGCTTCCCAGCTCCTGTGGGTGCCAGTTGGGCAGTGGCTGGATGGGAAAAGTCCTGGGTCCATGCAGGTAGAGACTGAGAATGAGTGACTCCCAGCTCCCTGGGCTGTGGGTCACCTGGGATAGCGGTCAGTACCTCACTGGACGCCTGGCATCTCTTGGGTTACCAGCCCCCACTGAACTCCAAGGACTTTAGACCACATGGAACACAGAGATGCGCTTACCCGGCTCCCAGGGTCACCCTTGCAGCCTGGAGGCCCGATGCGGCCCAGCTTGCCCTAGAACAAGAAAAGGGAGCAGAAGATGGGTCAGGGTGACCATCATAACCCTTGTGATTGGTGACAGCAATGCAAACACAAGCATCATTAACTGTGACTCCTCAATGAGAAGCTGGGGTGCTACTCTTTTCATGAGCATCCGGCCATGTGTGTGTGTGTGAGCAAGAGACAGTGCAAGAAAGTGTGTGTTTGTGTGCATGTGTGTATATGTCAGCCAAGTATTCGACAGGGCAGGCTGGGACATTTCCTGGGGTCCAGGCCTTGATTTTCAGAACGCACGGCCTCCCCATTCTTGCCATGATTTTATCTTTACAGTACACACTTGTATGGAAGAAACTGGGAGCCCAGATTCAAGTCATGGCCCCAAGGCCAGTCCCAGAAGAGAGCTTGGGAAGGGTTCTGAGTGTGAGACCTGTCAGATCCATGATGATATATTCTATTCTACAAAATAGCAAACTCTCGGCATTCCACAGTCCAGCCCAGTCCCAGTGCCCAGCACGAAGCATAAGGCCCGCTCTACCTTCTGTCCATCGGTCCCATTCTTGCCAGCCAGGCCGGAAGCCCCCTGAGAGAGGAAGGGAAAAAGGATCCTTTAGTTCTGAAGGCTGTTTCCTTAGCATCTGGGAAGCGCCACCACCTACCCAGCCCAGCCGGCTTACCTTCCTGCCATCAGCTCCAAACTCGCCCTGCACAGAAAGAAAGTGAGGTCATTAAGTTGGCACCTTTGTTACTATTGGCACCTACCAGATACAGTTGTGGTTAACTATGGGGCTTGAGTTCTGGCCAAATTCAAAGCTAGAGAAGCCCCATGAACCAAACCACCCTCAGGAAAAGGCCTGGGGCTGCCCTCTCCAGGATCTGTGGTAATGTTTGAGGGGTGAGTTTGGGGCTAAGGTTCCATTTGTGGCTTGGCAAGGGCAAGGGCTGAAGTCCTCAGATTCACACTCTTACCTTCTCTCCTTTGAAGCCAGGAACACCCTGAACAAGAAGGGGGAGTGGGGGAAGAACGTTAGATTGAAGCTTACTATCAAGAGAAAACAGACAGCACAGGGATCTATAAAAAGAAGGGCCCATGGTCCAAGACCAACAGGCCAAGAGGAGAGAACCTTGAGTGATCAGAAGGTGCTGGAAGATTCTAGAAAAGTCTCAAAGAGCAGTGGTGAGTGACAGCTCTGGGATCAGGATCATCATCCCTCGGTGGAGGAGATGGATGTCTGGTTTTGAAATGCAATTCATCATGGTGATTATACATTAAGAGGCAGAGGAGTGGACTTCTCCTGAGATGCTTGTGACTTAAAAAACACTCTTCAAGAAGTGCTCTTCAAGAAGTAAGGGCTTGGGGCAGCAGAGTCTGCCTCTAGTCGGCAGTGGCTCTCTTGAGTCTCAAGCCAAGCCCCTTGGGTCAGCTACCCTTTCACCTCTTCACCAGGACACAGACACTCTTGGTTTGTTTCCATTCTCCCAGCAGGGCTGATCATAACTTGCCTTGGGTCCTGGGAATCCAATAGGGCCTTCGATGCCTGGATCTCCCTGTGGAAGAAGAATACAGAGGTAGAGCAATCAGCCTAGTGAAGAGGTACTGAGGCTGACAAGACATAGTAGAGATCAGTGGGGGACACTCACCTGATGCCCCTTCTGTCCAGGCTCTCCTGGCTCACCCATGTTGCCCTTGGCACCCTACAAACAGACAACAGGAATAATTGTAAGTGGTGTCTCCATTATGGTATTTTTCACTCTCACTGCCTCTCAGAATTTAGTTGCGGCCATCCCTGTGACAGGTTTGAATGCCTGTCGAGTGACTTTCAAAGACACTCACCCATAAGCCACTATGGTTATTAGACTGCTACATGCAGCCAAAGCTGCACATTCATTCCCAGGGTTATGGTGGTGGCTGGGCACTGGCACTTAGGATGGGGAGAAACCTCAAGAAGGAAGTGTGGAGAGTTTGGCTGGTGGCCTGGAGACTTCTCATCCTGGCAGAAAATGGATTTAGATTCTTACTAGTCCAGACAACTCCCCTTCAAGTTCAATAAAGGAAGGAAATATGAAGCTACGAGCAAGAACACTATACATTGTGACGTTATTGAAAAGTTTTTGTCTCAGTTCTTCTTTCTTTCCCCTCTTCTTCTGTCTTCCTTTCCCGTTCTTGACAGACATAGATGGTTGAAGTTTCTGGTGGTGAATTTTGGAAGGATTTCTTTCATATTGTTCTATTGTCAGGAATATACAGGACACTCAAAAAATACTTTTAAACTTGTTTAATACAGTATACAAGTAGATGCGTGATACTAGCTTATTAACTTGTAATAACTTATTAATGTTAGTAAGTTATTAACAATAATGCCTCGTGTTTTATTTACTCAGGTAAACATGCTTATTTACTCTCTAAAAGTATTTTGCTGATGAGGTTGACCCTTTGCAGTCTAGGAAGCTTACCTTCTGTCCTCGGTAGCCCTTGGGACCAGGGGGGCCGGCGATCTCCAGGCAGCTCACCTTGTAACACTGGAATAAGAACACAGAGTGAGAATAAGCAAATCCAGAGGGCATGACAATCTCTTGTGAGGTGGGGACAAGGGTGGCTGGGTAATTCTCAAAAGCCAATGGGCTCATGAAACACCAGGATGGTAATAACACCTTGTCCAGTGTCAGGAGTGTCCCTGAGCTGCATGCAGGTGGGTCAGGGTCAGGACAGTCACAGTCAGGGAAAGAAGGTCAGGTCATAAAGGTGAGGGACAGGGAAGGTAAGTCAGGGCCACTAATCAGAGGCAGCAGAGAAGGGTGAGAATCCTGACGAGGTCAGAGCGTGAGGAGGAGCTCAGCTTCTGCAGGGTAACCTGAGGGAACTGAGGTTACACAGAATGCACTTCCCCAGGTTAAGAGGCACCAGCAACAGAGAAGGACCTGAAACTCGCCCCTGTTCCCAATTCTGCCCTAAAACCTGGAACTCCTTGTCCTGGACCTCTGATGAGTATGGCTGGCAAACAATGTGGAATTTTGACCCAGGGAGATGTGATGGTGCCATACTTCTGGGGTGAGGGCTCTCCTTTAGTGAGAATGACCGACAGCACCCACCTCCCATGCCCAGCAGTCCCAGGCCAGGTCAGGATCTATGTGGTCTGAGTGGAGAAGACCTGGTAAGGCTGCACATTTATGTTCTAACCACTATCTTTCTGAGTTGTGAGTCCCAAACTAGGAGGTTGGAGGTTGTGTCCAGCCAGGGAGTGAGGACCAGCCCCCGAAGTGCCAAGAGTTATGTTCATCTGCCAGTCCAGAAACACTGGCTCCAAGCAGACAAAAGAGAAGAAGTCTTAGATGGCTCCACAGGAGAGGACTGAGAGAGGCACAATTCAAGGGAGGCTTGTCACCATCACCTAAGCAAAGGACTTCCCCTATATACATAGTGGAGCCAGGCATGGCCGGGGCACAAAATGGGAAATGCTGACATTTCCACAGACACCAGAAGGGAAGGCCTGGTTTGTAGCTATAGTGCCTGAGATCTGTATGATGGCTCTGTTCCAGGTTTGGAAAACTGCCCAGATTATGATTAATAATAATTAAGAGCAATTAGCGTTCAAAAGCTATCAGGTGTACATCAGCATGTTGACACAACGATACTAACTTTTGGTGTTTGCGAACATCTGGGCTATATGGGGAATAAGCTCAGATGACTGTCTTTTTTCCTGGGACTGTGAGCTGGTGTGAGGGTAGAAACAGTGACTTGCAAGGATGTGAGAGAATGTCATTGGCTCAGAGCTACTGGTCTCCATGCTGGGCCACTGGTACCCTTAGGGGAGACAGAGCCACCCTGCATACACCGTGTTCCGTGTCCAGGAGTGTTCCTCCTGACCCTGGCTCAGTGAGCCCTGAGAAGCACGATCTTAAGCTCCTTCACTTACCTTTCTTAGGGTGAGGCCCTAGCCTGACGTTCAGGGTTTCAGCCTGAGTCCCTCATCCTAACACATCTGGCTCCTACTCCTCTTGTCTGATAGGCTCATTCACCCCAGCCCCCCAGCAACCAAGACTGTAGAGTAATCATCCATTGGTCACATCATGGGGGTGGGACAAGAGTGCACAGAACCTGGAAGTGGCACTCACCTCGCCATAAGCTTCGTGTTTCTAGAAAAGAAAGAGAATCTTGTTAGACACAGCTCAAGACGCAGGGCAGCTCTATGCGTCTGGAGGAACTGCTGGTGCTGCTGGATGTGGGTGGAGGTGGCCCAGAGCTCACCTCCTCCCTCACAGAGGAGATAAACTGAGGCCAGGCGTGGGATGACTGCCCCCCACTACACTTGGCTGGCAGACAGTGGTTCGGGGGCAGCCCTCAGTGCCTGGAGCCTGTGGCAGCTTACCATGACCTTGATGATGCGGTTGATGGTGTCTTCGTCGATGTCAGTGGTGTCCCGCTTCATGGTGGCGTAGTTGCTACGGTACAGCTCATAGGGCGAGCTGGCAATGTCCCGCAGACCCTGCTCATTCAGGTTGGGGTTGGGGGCCACGGCAAAGAGCTTGATGCCTGCCTCTCGTGCCCGCTCGGCCTGCATCTTGATGCCCCCACAGGGGCTGCCAGTGACATGGCCATCAGTGATGACCACGGCAAAGTTGACCACATCCTTGCCTCCACTCTGCCGCACCTCCTGGGTCATGTTGGCCAGTGCACAGTCGGTGAAGGTGCCCCGGCGGAAGGAGCGGATGCCCTGCAGCGCCTTGGTGAAGGAGGCACGGTCACTGCCCGGCCGGCTGAACACCTCCACCTGGTCGGAGAAGTGCAGGCCGCCGTAGCGCCAGCTCAGGGCCACCTGGTCCAGGTAGAAAGTGTCTTGCAGCTGGCTGATGAGCTGCGGCACGAACTGCTGCATGTGATAGAGCAGGCTGTCTGTGGGCGACTGCATGGTCACACTCTCAGAGGTGTCCAGCACGAAGTACACATTGATGGGGCAGTCGGTTTTCTCTGTGTGGGGACAAGGCACAGTCATAGCTTTTCAAGGGAGTGTGTGGTGTGAAGTTGACCCCAGGGGCTACAAGACGTGGGCTTGTGTGTAAATCTGACTTATGGTGCAGGCAGGGTGTCGTCACAGCCTGGGCTTGGGGACTGTTGTATGAATCCACGCTGTTCAAGGTTGGCCCCCAAGGCTCCACGCATGCAGGTGGTCCTGGGCTCCGTATCACTCCCCTTAACTCCCCCCCCCCCGCCATTGTCACCTGTGTACCCAAAGCCCCTGAGCTCCCTGACCTTGCATGCAGGGTGCTCCACTCCTCTCACCCACAAAGTAGTACCTGGGCAGGTATTGCTTCTCTCGGAGATGCTGGGGGAAAGGACCTCTTGCTGTTGGCCATGGAGAGTCGTCACAAACCCCCAGAGCAGAAGCACACAACTGATGCCTTGAGACATCTTGGCCGCACCTGTCCACCTGACGTTCTGCAACGAGGAGGCAAGACCACTGCAGACAGCATTCCCACCACATAACCGTGCATGCCCACCTTCCCCTGAGCGCTCCTCCCCCAACACTGGAGGCCACCAGGATGGTGACACCCTCATTCCCAAGGAACCCTTCTCCCCCCCAAGGTGGAGGTCAGCAGGATGGGGTTATCCTTCACTCCCCAAGGAAATGGAAGCCTGTCCCTGGCGGCATTGTCTGGACTGGAGTGACTATGGTACCCTCTCCACCCTCAGCCCCATTCATCGTCCATAAACATTTAGTATGGACACAAACACAAGCTGTGGATGCACTGAGTGGGATCCTGAATGCACACAGCCCATCTCTACTCTGAAGAACAAGGATGCTACAGGTAGACAGGGTGTGTCTTGTGGAATTGAGCACCAGTGACCCTTGTTAGAGCTGACCACAGTAGCATAAAAGGAACGTGGAGAAGGAGCATCAGGGCACAAGATGGAGAGACTCAGAGCTGTGGTGGGCCTTGATGCCAACTATCTTGACTCACCTGGCAATGACCAGGCCTGGGAAGGAGCAGTGGAGACAGACAGAAGGTGGAGGTAGATAGAAGGTGGAGGTTGGGGGATTGTGGGCAGAGATTGTAGTGGAGTAATCAAAAGTCTCAAGTACAGGTATCAGGAGTGAGAACCTCTCTGTCAGGGAACAGCCAGGTAGCTATCAGGGTACAGGGACTCCACAAGAGCCAGACAAACACACATCACACCATATATACCTATCACACTTCAATCACATACATGCAAACACACACACCATCACACGCATGTACACACCCTGCCGCCCCAATCTCAAATCTTCATCAAGATAACCAAAGGCCCCTCCAAATGAAAGCCATGTGCTGTTTTCAGGAACTGGGGATGTAGAGTTTCCAAGGAGAAAGCTCTAAAGGATTTTCTGCACTTCTTCAGTGTGGGATGACCCAGCCCAAGGCTGAGGGGAGGAGGCCTTTGGGGCCCAGGAGAATAGGCTGCATTGGAGGTGAGAATGTTGTTAGGGATCTTCAAGTTGGAACTGACTCACAGCTGACCCTCCAGAAGGTTTTCAGAGGCAGAGGGAGGAAACCTCCCATCTTCTCCAGCTGGTGGATTTAAACTGCCTGCCTTTGGGTCGGCCATGCAAATTCTTGCTACAAAACTTCTACAGCCCCTGGAGTGGAGCAGGGGGAGGTGAGACTAGGTGGGGACAAATTTCAGGCCTAGTGCCTGCAGCTCTTTCTTCCCATCACAGTGGACCAAGGACAGCACCCGAGGTCCCTTCACTCCTCCTTTTGTGGGTGAGAAAAGTTGAGAAGCTTGATGAGAAAGACCCATTTGATTTCAGAGAGAAGCACTCTCTAACTTCAACCCTTGGAAAGACTTCAGAGTTCAAAGAAGGCGTTTTCAGATTTGTAATTTGTTGGGAAAGTAAATGAAGCAAGTGCATAACAGACTGGATATTAAAGAAGGTAAAATCAGTTAAAAAGATGCTAAGTTTGGAAAAATCATGTTGAAGTTCAGAAAGAGAAGATAAAATAGTGGAGATTGTAATAAAAGACTAGTTAAATAGAGGAAAGGTCCTGGAAAGAAAGCAAACAAACAAAACAAAAAAACTGTGGACACCAGGAAAGAACTGTTTAAAAGAAATATATGATTAGGCATTATTTATATGACAATAGTCCAGAATAAGAGGTGCATTAGCAAAGTGAACAGAGGGAGGGAGAAAATTATGCAATAGTGAATGATTTTTTTTTAAAGAAGTGAATTGGGAGGTAGGGAGGAAAATGTGTAACAATGAGTGAATAAAAATTCAAATTTTTGGTAAATTTTCATTATTTTAAAGCTTCTGATTTTCCACCAGTGTATTTTTATGCTCTTGCTATGTGCCATGGAGTCTACCATAATTCATAACAACCTTACCAATAACAGATTAGAACCTTGCTCTATCCTGCACCATCCTCAAAATCTCTGCCATGCTCAAGTTCATTGTTACAGTCACTATGTCAATACATCTTATTGAGGGTCTTCCTCTCTGACAATGACCCTCTATCTTTTCCAGCGTGATCTGACTTTCCAAAGTTTAGCCTCTCCTGACAACATGCCCAAAGCATGTGAAATGAAATTTCATTATCTTTCCCTCTAAGGAACACTACACTTCCTCCAAGACAGATGAGGTTTTTTTTTCTTCTTTTTTTGACAGTCCATACTCTTTGCCATGGAGCTTTGGTGACCTAGTTAAACTTTAGTTAAAATCACAATTAAAAAGAAAAAAAAGAGAGAGAAGAAAGTAGTGCAGCCTTAGGAAAAGTAATAATTAAAGAAATATCAAAAGAGAAATATCTTGATTTGAGATCAAAGGGCAAATCAACTACCAGGCAAATTAAATAAAAGAGATCTACATAACAACATTCTTCTGTAATTTTCAGAAGCCTCTTATTTCAGAAGTGAACAGTCAGTCCTGCTTCTTATTCTATGTTAGTCTGCAAGCTTTTATGATGTGTAGAACTGGGAAAATTTGCTAACAAGAACTTCTTTAAAGTGCTAAAGAGCAAGGATGTCAGCTTAAAGGCTAAGGTGCACCTGATCTAAGCCATGATATTTTCAATTGCTTTAAATGCAAAGAAGAATTGAGGCCTTTGAATCATGGTGTTGGCAATGAGTTGTTGTGTACCTTGAAGCTGGAATGAACCCATATCTGACCCCGTGGTGGGTTTTCTGAGGCAGTTAATTACACAGGAGGAGAATGCTCATCTTTCTCCTGTGGAGCAGCTGGTGGGTTTGAACTGTGTGTCCTTGGAATTGCAGTGCCGATTTTTACTGCTATGTCACCAGGGCTAGCTGACAAAAAGTATGGACTGTCGAAAAAAACAAACCCATCTATCTTGGAGGAAGTGTAGTGAGGGTGTTCTCTAGAGAGAAGGATAATGAGTGGGTGACTTTCACAGTTAGATAATAAAAGACACTGAAGAGTTTTTCCTAGCTTTCTTGGATTGATCACTAAGCTAGGTTCCAGCTGTCATAACAAGAAGATATTCACGTAGCCCTTGGAGAAGTTCATGTGAGGAGGAAATGAGGCCTCCAGCCAACAGTCACATGGCAGGGACATCTTCAAAGTGGAATGGGTAGCCTCAGTGAAGTCTTCAAATGACCACGGACCCAGACAACATTTTGTCTGTACCTTAAGAGAGGTTCTGAGCCAGAATCACTGATCCTGAATTCCTGATGCAAAGAAGTGGAGATGGTAAATAAAACTTAGTTTTAAACCATTAAGTTTTGAAGCAATATGTTATACTATAGAATTAATGAAACAGTATGCCATGGCTACGGAGTTAATTCTGACTCACGGTGACCCCCATGGACCTCAGTTCTATACAGGTTGTGTGGCCTTTGGGAAGTTGATCACTGACCCTATTATCTGAAGCAGCTCTGAATGGGCCTGAACCACCAAGGTTTGAGTAACTAGCAGAGTATTTAATTGTTTGCACCCCTCAGGGCCTTCAGATAACTAGAAGAGGCATAAATCTGTTTTACCTCCACAACACTTAATGCCAAAAGACAAAGACTACAGCATTTTGAGAGGTGGGAAAAGTGTAATTCAAGAATGGTTTACTCAGCCAACTTATTTTCAATAGCAGGAAGATAGTCTTATGTAAATGGTTTTGGATCTGTGCCACCCACATGCCATTTATGAAAACAATTCCTTAGGAATTTCTGTAATTCATAGAGTTATTGTTACTGGATAACAATAATTTTGATAGGCATAGAAGCCTGAAAATTATAGTAAAATATAGACAATAAAGGAAATAGAAATCATTAAAGCATAAAAATATATGTCAGAAATATCGCATAAATCAGTCGTGACAATGACTATGAATGGTTTAAATTTTCACATAAAATACAAGCATTCCTAAATTCAGCTAAGAAGTGAACTCTATCTTAATGGGGTTTATTAAATCCATACTTTAAGTAAAATGCCACAGATCATGCAAATAAAATAGGGTGGGTAGAGTGCAGATGAGGTAAGAAAGAAAAGGGCACTATTGTATGATATCAGGGTAAGGCAGAAGGGCATGTGATGGAACAAAGAAAAGGTAAAAGACCTTAGTCTATTACAAATCCCATTATATTTCATTACATGAAGTTAGCTAAAGAATATGTAATAAAGAAAAAAATGAAAATTGCAATTTAGTTACTGAAAAATCACACTAAAAATACGGCGAATTTGTGAGCTGTTGTTAGGAGAGGCTATTTCTCGGAGAGGGATATCATGCTTGGAAAGGTGGAGGGAGGGTCAGCAAAAGAGAAGTAGGCCCTCAGTGAGGATTGATACAGTCAGTGTCTGCAGCAATGGGTTCAGCTGTGGTGAGGCTGACACAGGATAGAGGAAGGTTCAGTTCTGTTGTTCGTAGTGTCACTCTGCATTGCACTCAATTTCACGGTACTTAACAAAAGGGAATTCTAGTGGTGTAGTCCATAGAGAGCTGCATGGCTAGCTGAAAAGGCATGCCTCTGGAGGTTCGAATCTACTCTCTTCTTTGCTCTGCTGAACATCCAGTGGTTTTTCCAAGGAGCTTCTGGTGGATCTGAACTGTCAAGATAGGTGCTGCGTCTGGGTTAGCAGCACAACCCTCTGTGGACACATTAGTTGTTGTTGTTATGTGCTATCACTTAGGAAACAACTCCTAGCTGACTCTCCAGCGGGTTTTCAGAAGCAGTAAATTGTATGAGAAGAGACTGTCCATCTTTCTCCTTCAAAGCAGCTTGTGGTTTCAAACCATGTGCCTTTGGGTTGGCAGAAAATTCCTTACCACTAGACCCCACAGCTCCCTACATTAACTATTGTTGCTGTGTGTACCATTAAATAGGAACAGACCCACAGTTGACCCTCCAGTTTTCAGAGACAGTAAACTGCATGGGAGCTGACTGCCCAGGTTTCTCCTGTGGAGTGGCTATTGCAAAGCTCA